TAACCATATATTTTGAATTATTTATTATCATCATGTATTGACAACAATTGTAGCAATTGTCATTGACAAACTCTCAAAACAATTTGTCTCAACAATGAATGGAAATTAAAAAGATCAATGATTTCATTATTGTTGATGAAAAATATGTACGCCACTTTATTACTCTTATTAAATTAAATAAATTAGTAGCTGCAACAAAAAATAATACATATGCATTTAATTAATTTAGATTAGATGTTTATAATGCCTTTATTTAAAAAAATTTATTCATTATAAAATATTTAAAAAGAGATATAATTTCATTAGTTATATTATCTTTATTTTAATTTCTACAATTCAAAGACTGGTTTCCTACAAATTTATTAATTTATTTATTCACTACATTGTCCATTGTCTTCTTTTTACATTATCTTGTAATTAAATATCAAAGTTATAAGATAAAATATGTTATATATATTTATTTACCAAGTATTTTATACAAATATAGTAAATATTAATATTTTGTTCAATACTTTCATATGATAACCTACAATACTCATCTCACAACAAATGAAACATGTATGAGAAAAATTACCACTACCAAATATCAATATGTGTTTATAAGATAATGATTTCATAGTATCCCAGTCATATACACAACAAGTTAAATCTAAAGCTTCCTACACTATAATCTCATTGCACGATGTATATGTGGTACCACCAGTAACCCAATTGCACATGACACACTGCTAATAAAAAATAATTTTAAAAAATAAAAGACATGTACTAAAGATGAAAACAATGACAATGCTACCCAAAAGAGTATTAAGAAGAATTAAAAAATTTAAACCAAAAGTAGTATTTATTTAGACTATCGCTTTTAAACTAAGTATTTATTAGACTAACGTTATTACAAAGTTGCAAACATTTATTTTAGTGACATTTATAATCAATCTCTCATATATTATTTTGCATTTATATACTTTACTAGTTATTTTCAAAAAAAAAATATACTTTACTAGTTTTTTACGCGCATTGCGCGATTGGGATAATGCCCAATGTTTGTTTTTTTTTTTTTTTAAATAAGTACTTTAAAGTATATTAAGGCAAGATTATATTGAAATTGTTCATGCATAGATAATTGAAGGTTGAATTTGCGTATTTAAATAGGTAATTCTTCTCCCAAAGGTTGAGTCCCCAACCCCAAGGGTCCCCACACTCCGACCCGACAGAGCATTGTGGGAAGTTGTAAATCACGGTGACTCAATGATTTAGCAGACAGGACCAAATGTCGGTGCGCACAAGCAATCTGCCCACTTTAGACATAATTCCCGCACTGTCGCCGCCGAGGTTCAAACCTTGGTCTCTTCTCCCAAATACTGCCCACTAAATTAACCATTGAGCTAAGCCCGTGCGGGTTAAATAGGTAATTTTAAGTTTACAAATGCAAGATAATATAGTCAAGATTGATTATAATTGTCAATAAAATAATTGTATAGGTATGGTTGAAACCAAATACGGGACATAAGGAAGAACAAATAAAAATTATGGCATAAAATATTAAATATATACTAATATTGTTTGAGGAGATTTCGACATTAGGATTTGTGGTTAAGTTTTATTAAGACTTTAATATTAGAATTAGATTGATGGTGTAGTTATAATTCTATATTAGACTTTAATATTAGAATTAGACTAACGGTGAATTAACGGTATTTAACGGAAAAGTTAAATGGATAATCATATAATTAAGGATAAATTAGAAAAACTTAAAAGAAAAAAATTAAAACCTGAACAATCTGAACCATTCATTTGATTTAATAATTTGGCGGTCATTTTTTCTACCCAATGTTAATAATTAAATAAATTCGTTGGTCAAATCCGCTAATATAATCCGCTAACGCTAACCGCTAACTGCTGATTGTCAAACAAGGACATTGTAAGGTAGTTCTCACTTCAATTTGTTGTGTGATTTGAATACTCTCTTTGTCACAAAATCTCTCAAGTAGTTAATATGGTTGGCTTTATTAATTATATTTTTTTTAAGGGAAAATGACACTTTTCCCCCCTGAGTTATATACATATAGCACTTTTCCCCCCTCAATTATTTAAGTGGCTGTTTTTCCCCCTGAAATGTTAAATGGACATATTTACCCTTAAAATAAATATTTAAAATAAATATTTTATTTATTTTTCTTCTCCAACAAATTATGACCATAATTTGATCCAAACCAAACAAACACTATAGCAACCAAATCGAAATATTCCAATTACAATTTAAAATCGAAACTCGATATTTAAAGTTTATTAAAATCGCGAACAGGAACGGACGGTTCATGTTCCGAACTGAAAAAATAAAATACATTTATTGTTGAATTTAGACTATTTTAAAATAAAAAACAAAAATTTAAAATAAAGACGGTTCAAAATCGCGAACCGGATCTGGAACCCTCGGTTCACGGTTCAGCCGTTTAGGATCCAATTTGTTTGATTCATAATTTTAATAAATTGAAATCCAAATGTTGGGTTATAGATCTGAATCATAACCGAAAATTTTTAATTCGATTGCTTTAGTGTCCGGTTCAGTTTGAACCGAACGGTGGTCATCCCTACGTATAGTAATAATTTGTTGGATAAGTAAAATAAATAAAATGTTTACTTTAAGGGTAGAAATGTCAATTTAATATATCAGGGGGAAAAACCACCACTTTTAGAATAATTGAGGGGGCTAATGTACTTACCTAAATAATTAAGGGGGAAAAAGTGCTATAAGTATGTAACTCAGGGGGAAAAAGTGTCATTTTCTCTTTTTTTAATTTTTTCATGGTATTAATAAAATACTTGGTAAATAAATATATAACATTATTTTGTATTATAACTTTGATATTTAATTAGAAAAATAGTGCACAAAAAAGATAATAGACAATGTAGTGAATATAATCAATTGATGAATTTGAATGTAAAAATTTTTACATTTGAGAAAAATAAGGACAATATAACTAATGAAAATATTTCTCTTAATTAATTTATTGATAATGAATAATTTTTTTCACTGAAATAAGACATTGTAAGGACAATGTAGCGAATATAATCAATTAATAAATTTGAATATAAAGAATTTTTATATTGTAGAAAAATAAAGACAATATAACTAATAAAATTATTTCTCTTATTTAATTTATTGATAATGAATAATTTTTTTTTTTTTGAATAAAGGCATTGTGGACACATAATTCTAAATTAAAGAATATAATTTTTTGTTGTAGCTACTAAATTATTATTTATATAATTTAATAAGATTAAAATAGAGTACTAATTATGCCAACTTTGTTTGAGATGAGGTTCGAACCTAAGACCTTTTTTTTTTTACTGAAATCAATGAGTAAGTTAACGGTGAACTAACGGCAATTCTTAAAATTTTAACGGAATTAGTAACGGTGTGTGGGTATTTTAGGAAATTTTAGTGTAAAATTTAAATCTTATCGATCTTTTAATCAATCTGAGCCATTCATTTGATTAAAATCTGTGACCGCCATTTTTTCTACCCATTATAGGCCTAACTCTCTTGGGCTCTTATTAGTGTATATATATATATATATATATATATATATATATATATATATATATATATATATATATATATATGTATATGTATATATATAATAGTAGAAATTACCGATTTAAATAAACAAATTCAACATTGATTTACCTATGCATGAACATCTCTTATATAATATTGCATTGATATACTTTGAAATACTTATTTAAAAATAATTATTGTGTATTATCCCATTCGCGCAAAGCACGCAAAAAAAAAAAAACTAATTTTAAAATAATATTGATTAAACTTCTTAGTTACTACAGTACTAAAAATAGACATGCTATTAAAAAAAAAAAAATTCTTTGTATTTTTTGAAATACTTCTGATTCTTTAAAAAATATCATTTGTTAATATTTTTTCAAACATTTTCAACTTAAAAAATTTACCCATTCAGAATGGTAACCAGCTTCGAATTTATTTTCTAATAAAATTTTCATCCATTTAGAATGGTAATCGGTAGGGGCGGAGTCAGGATTAGATGATGCAAGGGGTCAATTACGATTTAAGAGCGAATAATTAAATATACTAATATTCCTTTAATATATTTCAACATACATTTTTACATTACAAATCTACTAAAATCAAGTAGCAGACTAATATTTTCTTTTTAATACTGTGCATACACATGATATATACATAATCACATTATGCTTTAACTAATCTTAATTAATTCTTTGTTTCAAATTAATATCTATCTTATATATCTAGCTAATTCTTTGTTTATGTAATCACCATCTTCTTTGACTTGGAAGACCGAAGCCGCCATTAATGCAATTATTCAGAGAATGCTGCTTGAAGAGAAATGAAAATATACAATACCAGTAATTCATCAAATGATTGCTTCAAAGATATTTGAAAAAATGACCAGGTTACTCCTGAAAGAATATAAGAATTGATATTGTAAAAAGGCTAGTAAATAGAAATTTAGCCTACAAAATTGATTGGGAGGGGCCAAATATTTTGAGGAAGGATGACACCAAAATAAGCATCATACTATTAAAAATAAAATTGGTGGGGGGAGGGGGCCTGGGCCCCCTGCATCATGCAGGTGGCTCCATCCCTGGTAACCGGATGTCATGAGACTACATGGTGATATATACTTTCTCAACCTATTAAAACACAAAAAGTCAATAATCCACAAAGTTCGTGTATGTGACTTCCCATCTAAGAAAACTATAGTTATACTGCTTGACCAATGAGTTATTTGGTATTTTCTAATAAATTTTAAAATTTAGAATTTAAAGTTAAAAGTGATGTAATAAAGAGGTGATGAGTGTATGTATGCATGGGCATGATAGAGGGATGTATGGATACATGAAAGATAGATGGGACATTTGTCATGGAGCTATTGTTGAGGAAAATATCAATGCCACGTATGCATCGTAGGAAGAGAGAGATCGCAGCTAAAGATCTCCTCTCTGCTCTGTATCTATCTCTCTCTACATTCTACTCTGTTTACCTTTCTCTCTCTCTCTCTCTCTCTCTCTCTCTCCGACCTCTCTCCACCCAAATTTTATTTACCACCAAAATCTTGCATTTACTGTTACTGCAGCCCTGAGAAGAAACCAAAATATTCACTAATTTGCACCAATTACTTCTTTTTCTCGAATCTCCTGCAATTTTATCAGGTACACTTCTTCACCTGCTCCAATTTTTGCGTCATTTTACACAGTTTTTTTAATCCTTGAAATGTTAAGATTTGGAGTTTCCTTTGTTCCTGTCGCCATGTATGGAAAAGGGTTGATGAGAAAATGATGAAACCGATTAAAGGGTATGGGAAAGTTTTAATTCATCTTTTTCTAGTGATTAAAAGCGTTGAGAAGTTCATCTGACTCCTGCCCGAGTGAATCTGTTTGAAGTTTGTTGAATTTCCATGTTAAATTTATTTTTATTTTTTGGTTGTAAAAGTTTCATGTAGAAAAAAAATATTATATTTATGATATTTTATAAAAATTGAGATTAGACTTTTTGATTTTATATCTTTAATTATTGTTTTACATGCATTTTATTGTACTAATGAATGGGTATTAGGGGTATCTAGAATTGCTGAAAATAGATGTGTTCTGTTTCTTCGTTAGAGATATTATTGTTTCTTTGTTTTTCACCTTAATAATAAGAACAATTTTTTTTTCCTTTTATTTCATTTCCATTTGAAATTATTTCAATTGGATATTTGTCAAGGTAAGGATATGATTCTGATGTTAGCCAATGTTTTTTTTTTTTCCCTATGTTATTATTATTTTTTCTCTTTAAAAAATTGTCTGTGCTGGACTGCTGGAGAGCTTGGTGCTATATTTCCAAATTTTAACATCACTATTCCAATTAGCAAATTCTTTAAAATTTTAAAGTTTTTGACTTTATATGACTATTTTCGGTGTAGCAATCACTGTGATTAACTCATTGGAAGATCTAGAAAATGTTGAATTACAATCTATTGAGTATCGGTCCGTGATTTGGAGGACAGAAGTGGAGCTTTGAGGCTTTACTTGTCACCATGCTTTTCTTATAGTAAAAGTTCTTGGCTGGTCGATAGGTATATGGCTGCTTCATGTGAAAGGTGGATTGATCGCCTTCAGTTCTCTTCATTGTTTTGGCCGCCTCCACAGGATGCACAGCAACGGAAGGTATGATACTTTTCTTAATATGCCTAAGATTTTGATAATCTTTTCTGGCTCAAACATGTATAAGTGTGTTGCCTGCTATTGGTATAAGCTCTTACTTGTTTCTGTTTGACTCAAAATCCTAACTTCTGTCTGAGTCCGTGATGCATGAACAATATTGCTGCTTATGTTGCAAGAGGAAATATGTAATTCTCCTTGAAGCAAAACTTTGTAGAATTGCTATTTCATTTGTACTTCCAAGGGCATTTTTGTGTCTGTATTTTTATATTCCTAAACAGTTTGGGGCTTTTGGTAAACATATCTAATTATCTATTTAAACCATTAAGGTGAGAAATCAGTTAAAGACTTAAAGTGCAAAGCTTAGCAAAAGTGGAGTCATTCCAGAGTTCATGTTAATGAAAGAAAATTTAGTTGTTCAGTGCTGGTGTTCCCTTGGTAAACTTCTTAGTCATTTTGACTGTTATCATTTTTTTTTTCTTTTTGTAAAGTTTAGCTGACCTGTCATTGTTATCTTATTCAAGAATAATAAATAATTCAGTTATACCGATATCAGTACCTTAAAGTTTTTTTAAGAAGCCATTTTAACCAACCAATTAAGGAATCAGTTGTCCTCAGGTTAACAAATTTTTCAAACCAAGTTTTTTCTATATGAAATTCAAGGTTTAAAAAAAAAACTCCTTAATAAAGTAGTAATGAAAGGGTCTGCCTTATGATATGAAGGCTTTGTTATTTTTGATCAACATTGTATTTAACTAAATTTTACAGTGGCCAAGTTTAATTTTTCTGCGTTTGGGTCAGTATAAGTACGAAACATTTTGTTTAACTGTGATCCATTTCTAAGATGTTATTGCTAAATGACTATATGGAGAGCTGAATTTCACGTATTTCTCCAGCTGTATAGATTTTACTTAATCATAACCTGATACCATATTACCATCATGCCATCCCATTTAGATCTTGATTTATGATTTCTGTACCATATTTGAGGATATAAAGTATCTTCACGAATATGTGTGCAAGAATTTCTATCATTTATTTAAGACACCTGTAATTCAAGCCCTAGTGCATTGAACTAGACAAGATGTCCAATTTGCTTGTTCAGAGCTAAATGCCAACCCATAAATTCATGACAATGAAAGGCATTTTAGATGAGATATACCGTATTGCATTATTGAGGTTCTCACCAGTGGGATTGTTTTCAAGAAGATTACATGGTATTTCACTTAGATTCACACACTGACATTATAGAGTTACAGCCAGCTCCAATCCAACTTGGTAGGGCACAAGTTGGTAGAGCACAAGATTGTTGACCTTGTGGTCTATGTTTGAACCTATGGCAGGTGCTGCTTTCAACAAAACATGTAAATCTATCTTGCCTTTTAAGTGATAACTGATTTCTATATATTATTACAGTTCTGTCATTAGCCAGTATAAAAACAGCAATTTGATTTAAGTTATTATTTTCTGGATTATGCAACTCACAACTATGTGATAGGCCAAATTTGATTTGAATGGAGAGCCTAAAAAATGAGTTGAGGTCTTAAACATTTGATGTAAGTTAATTTTCTAACTTATAATTAAAGTTGAAAACAACAAAATTGAAAACTCTAATCTAAGCTGTTACTATGCCTCTTTAGTAATGGGAAAATACTGCATCTAAACAGTATAACAATTCCTCATTTTATATATATTTCATTCTAGCTTTGACTCTAAACTAGTTGAAATTGAGGGATTGAAAGGCTGGCGGGTGACAAATAGCCACCACCCACCCAATTATGAAAAAGTAAAATATGTGAGAAACCAAAGAAAGAGAGAATAGATGATTGCATTAATAGTAATAGATTGCAATAGATTGTATCTCTGTGTTTTGTATATTGAACTATATAGAGATTCTATATCTCTATAGGAACATTGTGCTAAGCCCACTCCTACTAGGAATAGAAAACCAAATGTACTCCTACTTGGACTAGAGATTCCTATTAACTATTTCAAAAATTTTAATCTTGCCATAGTGGTGGTGTACTTTCTTACATCTATTTACATTGTTGAGTTAAAAAAATGTCATTTTATTTTAACTTATCTATATTTTATGAGTTCTATTCATAGAAATCTTAATCCATTCTGTTTTCAGGATCAAATTACTGCCTATGTTGAGTATTTTGGTCAGTTTACATCAGAACATTTTCCTGAAGATATAGCTGAGGTATTTGGTCTATACTTTGGCTTCTGGAATTACTGTCTGGAAAATGCTATGTTTGTTGGTGTTTCCAATAAATATTAATTACTGGATGTGTATATTTTTTGGCAGCTGATCCGAAATCGCTACCCATCCAAAGAAAACCGACTTTTTGATGATGTTTTGGGTATTAGTGATTCTCTCCTTCTACTTATAATATAATCTATTATTTCTCTGCATTTAAATTAGCTTTTCTGCTTCTGCATATTTGGTGCAGCTTGAATATTTTTTCTAATCAATTTCAATTTCCAGCAACATTTCTCCTCCATCATCCAGAGCATGGGCATGCTGTTATTCATCCAATTATCTCATGTATCATTGATGGTACATTGGAGTATGATAAAAATAGTCCACCTTTTGCCTCTTTCATTTCATTGGTCTGTCCAAACAGTCAGGTATTCAGATTCTTTAACACAATTCTTAACTTTGTTGTTGATTTCAGTATATGTTATTTACATGATATGTTTGCCATCATTCTAAAGAGAACATTACATATGTTCTGATAATTTACTGAAGAAGAGTCTTGAGACTAATTGCAAACCCATGCATGCAGAATGAACTTTCTGAACAATGGGCTCTTGCTTGTGGAGAAATTTTACGTATATTAACCCACTATAACCGCCCGGTTTACAAAGTTGAAAAGCAAGATAGTGAAGCAGATAGAAGTAACAGTGGCAGCCATGCTTCAACAAGTAAATCTGCTGATGGGGGCCCTAGTTTGTTGTCTCCGCAACATGAGAGGAAACCACTGAGGCTGTTGTCTCCATGGATTACTGATATATTGCTGGCAGCACCTCTAGGTATTAGAAGTGACTACTTCCGGTGGTAAGTACAATGGTCCTTGCATGAAAATTCATTCTTTTCTATACATGAAATACCCCGATATGCTATGTTGATGAAGAACTACTATTTGACTTTTGAGTCTTAGAATGTATGTATCTTGGATTTGTGATGAAATGCTTTAGTTATCCAATATCTATAAATATATATATATATATATATATATAAAAGCCTAAAGCACAGAGAAAGTATACTCTAATTTTGCACCTGACATCCACTTTGGTTGTGTATGTAATAATTAATTGATTACTATAATATGAATGTTAATACCCATAGGAAAATTTCATTACCAAGAAATTAATTTAAAAAAAAAAAAAAAAAAAACAGGAGGGGGATAATAAGCTTTACCTCTTGAGTCCTTTGTGAAGATCACATGCTTAGAAATCATAAATAAGGACTCCTCCCTAATAATTACAGCAAACTCTAATACTAAAACAGTCTAGAAGGTTATCTAGACAAAAGATGAGGGACACTCATTTTATTGAGTTGAAACAGTCCACATGCCTTCATAAGCAGCCTAGAGACTTGGAACTACCCTTCTGAAATGCATTGATGTCGTGCTAATTTGGCAAGGTGGTCGGCTATAAAGTTTCCTTCTCAGAGTATATTGAAGGGTCAAGTTATATTTTCTCAAATGAGCTTGGGTCTTTATGTCTAATTTTGTGTCATCTAAGGAAGATTTAGCATGCCTCTTGATTTATAAAACTATTAATTTACATATAAGTTGATTAGACTTCGTGAAAGCTTGCCTTTTTTGCATGTGTGTGTGTATGTTTATACATACATATGTATGTATGTATGTTAAGGCCCAATTATGGACATATTTTTCATAGAAAATTGTCATGTTGTGAAAAAGGCAGCTAAAACTATGTTTGATTGCAAAACAAAAGATAATGGAAAAATGAACACAGAAAAAAAAAAATGATATTTGGTACTCTCATTCAAAATATCACTTGATTTTTATTTTTTAAATATGAGCACAACTTTCTAATTTACCTTTACATATATGTATATTTATGCGTATTAATTGTTACCTTTAGAACAAAACTTAGCTTAGCATAAAACTAAACTGTGAAGTGTAAGATACACAAGAAAAGTAAAAGAATACCTGACCTAAAAAAGAAAATGTAAAATATTTACCCTCACTGTGTGCATGCCAACACTTGCAACAATAAAGTTTATATTACAAGTTCTGGATACTTAATTATTACTCCGTATTATTATTGTTGTATTACATTGTAGTATCTGTTCATATACTTTCTCAACCTACTGAAACACAAAGAGCTAATAACGCCGCCTCCACTGAGGCTCGAACTCACAACCTTCCAAATAGAAGTCCAACCCGGGTACCATTAGACCACATAGTCCTAGTGTTGTTATTGTTATTATTATTATTATTATTAAATAATAATAATAATAATATTATTATTATTGTTATTATTATTATTATTATTATTATTATTATTATTATCAAGACCTAGGAAAGTTTCATATTCATATCTTATAGCTTTAGACAGTTTGTCTTGTGTTTTTAATTCCTTTTAATAGTGGATATTTCTTCCATCTTAAATGGAGTTTAACACATGAGTTGATATGAACTGAATAGTTCAATAACCTTAACATTTCTGTTTCAACTTGGGAGTTGTTTACTAGGCTATTTGGAATTGTTGTGGACCTTAAAATATTTATGAAGTTTTGTGGAATGGATGGATGGAAGGAATGCATTTGCCTTTCTGGTTTAAAAAGTTTAAGGGGAATGGTATAAGAAATCTGCATTTTACTCACTTAGTAGTACCCGTGTGCTCACTAAAGTAAAATGCTGTTTGGGGAATCAAGCCATTTGTGAGAGCAATTAATAGAAGTCATATCTAAACGTATGGCAAGGAGAGCTTTTGTGTTGATGATCTTTGGTTTCTCATTTTTATATAAAATTTTAGGATTTATGGATGGATAAACAAGTTAATTATTTCCTGTATTTTAATATACTAGCTTCTTAATTATTTCCTTTTGCAATGGTAATATACCTTAACTAGTGTTTGCTTTGGTGTCTTTTGACTGAGAATTTTAAGAATGTTCGTTTAGTAAAGTGGTAGTAAAAAATTAAATTCCTCATTGGCAACATAATTAATTCATTGAAAATATATACTGATGGTTAATGACTAGGTGACATAAGGTACTGTATTGATGGTCTTTTTATGCTCAACAGGTGTAGTGGTGTTATGGGAAAGTATGCTGCTGGAGAACTCAAGCCACCTTCAACTGGTATGTGCACTTTTTCTAGAAAACCTTTGCAATTAAGCCTCTAGATTCAACTAATGGAAATTTTGTGATCACACAAAATCTTGTTACACTTCTACCATTCATCCAGCTAATCTTAATTACCATCTAACTTTCCTTTGAACCAAGTTGGGCCACCCATCCACTCCATCCAATTGGATAAACTTGGACCATTTACCAAAATGTTGTAACGTTAATACTTGCTTCTTGTATGTCTTCATATATAAAGCTCTAAATGTCTTGATAACTTTACTATGTTCACCTTAATAGAGGAAAAAGAAAAATCTTTATTATTCAAATCCTACTTGTAGACCCAATTTGTACCAAGGATTTCACTATGTTCTAAGAGTAGCGAGACAACATATACATTTCACCAACAAACAAAATTGTAAAGTGCTTTAAACTTCTGAAAACATTACTAGTTGATTAATAGTTTTAATTGTTTATACTTGTTCATAACTTGTTTTAATAGTTTATAATTTTTCAACCCATAAGGCAATTTATTGAATTAACTGTATTTCTGAGGGAAACTTAAAATTGACTTAATTTTGTGTCTTAGCTTCTTCCCGTGGGTCTGGAAAGCATCCACAACTAATACCTTCAACTCCAAGGTGGGCCGTTGCTAATGGTGCTGGTGTTATATTAAGTGTTTGTGATGAGGAAGTTGCTCGTTATGAGACTGCTACCTTAACTGCGATTGCTGTTCCTGCACTGCTGCTGCCACCCCCGACAACGCCTATGGATGAGCATCTTGTTGCAGGGCTTCCAGCTCTGGAGCCATATGCACGATTATTTCATCGGTAAGTCTCTGATACACGCTCTAAAACCAGCATAAATGGAATCTAAGTCACTCTTTCCAAATATGCAATGGGAAATTGAGACAAATTTCTACACCTTATAAAAAGATCATCTGTGTCTTAATTTTCTCGTTTAGATACTATGCAATTGCAAGTCCAAGTGCCACTCAAAGGCTTCTGCTTGGACTTTTAGAAGCTCCACCTTCATGGGCTCCTGATGCACTTGATGCTGCTGTACAACTAGTGGAACTTCTTCGAGCAGCAGAAGATTATGCATCTGGATTGCGGGTAAGTTGTATCTTCTTGTACCAAATTATTTGAGCAAAATGTGAGCCTACAAAATTTTGGGCTGCAAATTTCTGTTAATCTATATTCTTATTTGGCGCTGGTTGCTGGAGTCTTGTCATTAAACCATTAGCTTGCTTTTTAACTGTTACATCAAATGATAGAAAAGGATTATTTATATATTTGTGTCTAGAAAATATATGTACAACTGTACAATGCTCTATTTATATATACATAAAGGTATACAAATTAGAGAAACTCAAGTGTGACTTGAGTTTCTCTTGTCGCCGGAATTGAGACACGCAAGTATGACATGTGTTTCTTGTATAATACGAGAAACACAAGTTGTACTTGAGTTTCTTGTTTGTATTTCTACGAACTAGAAATGCAAGTACGACTTGTGTGTCTAGTATATTTTTTTTGACAAACGCAAGTCGTATGTATTTGCGAGAAAAAAAATAAATTTCAGAAATTAAAGAAACTCAAGTGGGACACTGGGACTTGAGTTTCTTGTGAGAAACTCAAATCCTAAATGAGTTTTACCTTTTTTGGTCCAAGTTTGAAAAGTTGCTTATTTTTGTCTCTCCATGGTGTAATGTACTTATGTACCCATTTCAGTCAATTTCCTCATCAAATGTACCCCCACCCCCCACCCCCCCCCCCTCCCCACCCAAAAAAATGTAGAAATCAGTCCAACTTAATATTTTCTCATATAAAATGGCATTCCATGTCAATATGTTTTGTAACTTTTGTTCATTCATGGAAAACTGGAATGTTGAAAATATGAATAGCAACCCGATTATTACACCACACCATAGGTTAAGTGGCTCACATGTCTTAATACCTATCTCCCTTAGTGAGTTGTGTATCCATACTAGTTCACAAGTTGTTTGGGGTCAGAATAGAATATTCGTATTTCACGTTAGACCTTGTAGCCACACTCTGCTTCTTGCTTTTCCATGAGATTTTCCTTCCACAAACACACAATATACCGTAGTCAATCTTCTGTCACTTGGTATGAAATTATTTCAACCAACCATAGTTCAATGAATGTCAATAAGAAAAGATAACAAGTAGTCGAGTACGATATGAATGATGAAATTATGTGTTTGATAATTAAAAAAAAGAAAAAGTCTTCTATCATTCAATGAATTAGCCCAATCAACATCAGAGATTGCTTCAATACCTGTATATTCGAGATTAGCATACCGGATATCCTTTCCTAGTGCATTTTTCTTTACAATTCTCTGCTGCTTCTGACACAGCCAGCATAGGAGCATCCATAGATTAATGTACTATTATAGAAAAAGCAATATCCAATCAAGTGATACTGAGGCGGTTGAGCTTCCCAACTAGCCTTTTTTATCTTTCTGGATTTTCTAATGGCTCTCATTCACCTGTTATTAATCTAACATTTGATCTATATGAGTTTCACAAGGTTTTGATTTGTGGAAGAATAGAGGTTTTTATTATTATTTCCGTGTGCTATACATAAGTTCCTATATTTATATACACACAAGACACAAGTTGTTAAGCTCACTACTAGAATCTACGGTTAGAATTTAATTTTCAAATTCCCCCTGAGTTGGAGCATATAAATCATACAAATATACCCTGTCCTATTATCTCTAAGACTTAGTAAAAATATCTACCAGTTGATTGGACCAAGGTCACTCAACTGGGCTATAATGCACATGAGCCAAACCACACTAAAAGATTGAATCCATATGTTCTCTCTTATACTTTCAGTGTGGGACTCTTAACAGTAGTAATGCATCTAGACATGGTTTTTCCTTGACGAAATGGCAATCAACTTCTATTTGTTTGGTCCTCTCACAATATACTGGATTGAGGCAATATACATAACGGCCTAATTATCTCATATCAATGTCATTTGTGCACTATCATGATATTGTAATTCTTGAAGTAAGTGCTTCAAACATAGAAAATCATGTGGCTAGAGTTGTAGCATGATACTTGGCTTCAACACTTGATTTGGCTACAACACCTTGCTTCTTGCTGTCCCAAGATGTTAAATGTAGAAAGGTAGACTAACGCAGTGTGTATTTCATATCTTGCTGTACAGGAAGACCCTATATATATACACAAGCTAACTAAGTGCTAACCACAGAATTTGAAAAGAAGAAACACTAGGATAGGAGAGAAACTCTAACTATCTCTAACTACCCCTTATTTCTCTAACACTCCCCCTCAAGCTGGAGCATAGATGTCAATCATGCCCAGCTTATTACAGATATACTCAACCCTGGCCCTACTAAGACCTTTTGTAAACAAATCTTCCAATTGATCACCGCTTCGAACATGAACAGTAGAGTGTAGAATCCGGGCACTTTAACCATTGGCTATATGTGTAGTTGTGACCGAAGGAGCAACACCTTTTATGTGTTAATCTTTGCTATTGGGTTTCACACTTTAAAAAAAAAAAATCATAATGCCTGAATTGGCTTTATGGATGCTATGAACCTCACATAGAATAATTATGCTTTTAGTTTAACAAAAAAAGGTAGAGAGTGAACTGCAATGTTTCAATATCAATTGCAACAAGTTAGCTTTGCTTTCAGACAATTGGAAGTCTGAGTAGCAACTCTCTATGCATTTTTGTCTTGATTTTATAAACTTATGTTTTTTTATCTTCCTGTAATGATGTTACATAGTTCATTTATTCTTTTAACACAATTTCATCATAGGACGGACACCATGCCTCTTTCACTCTTAGAGAAGCTTATAAATCTGATTTTAAGATTTATCTTATATTTATTTTGTAAAAATTTATCATAAAAGTGCTATTAACTTGATTCCTTGAGAACATTTTTTTAAAGGGATGCTATTGATAATCTAATGCTTTCAATTAACTTAAGTCCTAATCCTTATCCACTTGGTGAAGCTTCCTCGAAATTGGATGCAATTGCATTTCTTGCGTGCTATTGGAATTGCAATGTCTATGAGAGCTGGCATTGCTGCAGATGCTGCGGCTGCTTTGCTTTTTCGAATACTTTCGCAACCTGCTTTGCTTTTCCCACCATTGGGGCAAGTGGAAGGAGTGGAAGTCCAACATGAACCCTTGGGTGGATACATTTCATGTGATAAAAAACAGGTAATGCTTGCCTTATTGCTTGGATTTAATCTAGAGGTACTCTAGTGATATCTAAAACACGTCATTCTCTAGAGAGAAGTGCCAGCAGCTGAAGCTACAGTTGAAGCTACTGCCCAAGGGATTGCATCAATGCTCTGTGCACATGGCCCTGAGGTTGAATGGAGAATATGTACCATTTGGGAAGCTGCTTATGGTTTGATTCCTTTAAGCTCCTCTGCTGTTGATCTTCCTGAAATTATGGTGGCAACCCCTTTGCAACCTCCTATCTTGTCATGGAATTTATATATACCTCTGCTTAAGGTCCTTGAGTATCTTCCTCGTAGGAGTCCATCTGAAACCTGCCTCATGAAAATATTTGTTGCTACTGTTGAAGCAATTCTTCAGAGAACATTCCCACCTGAGTCATCCAGAGAAGAAATTAAAAAGACAAGATTTGTTTTTGGCTCTGCCTCCAAAAATCTTGCTGTGGCAGAATTGCGAACAATGGTCCACTCGCTATTTGTAGAGTCATGCGCTTCTGTTGAGCTTGCCTCTCGCCTTCTTTTCATTGTGTTAACTGTATGTGTCAGTCATGAAGCAAAACACAATGGAAGCAAGAGGCCTAAAGGTGAAGATTCTCTGGCAGTTAGTGAAGTCAGTGGAGACATACCAACAACCACTGCGAAGCGAAAAGAAATTGAAAGTGAGAAACCTAAAAAACAAGGACCAGTGGCAGCATTTGATTCTTATGTTCTTGCTGCTGTTTGTGCTCTTTCTTGGGAACTTCAGCTTTTCCCTTTGATTGCAAGAGGGAGTTTTTCATTCGGTGCTAAGAATGTGGATGCCACAGCTAACCTTTCCAATGTATCATCCATTGAGTTGAAGAATGGGATTCACTCTGCAGTCTGCCATACTCGCAGGATACTAGCAATTCTAGAGGCACTTTTCTCTTTGAAGCCATCTTCTGTTGGAACCTCATGTAGTTACAGTTCAAATCAGATAGTTGCAGCAGCTATGGTTGCAGCTCACGTTTCTGATCTTTTTCGACGGTCAAAGGCTTGCATGCGTGCACTGTCCATCTTGATACGGTGTAAATGGGATGATGAAATTCACTCTAGGGCATCTTCACTTTATAACCTCATTGATATTCACAGCAAAGTAGTTGCATCAATTGTCAACAAGGCCGAACCATTGGAAGCACACTTAATGCATGCACCAGTGCCAAGGGAAATTCCCACCTGCTTTCATGGGAGGAAACGAAATAAATGTACCAGCTGTAACTGCTTAAAACCAGAGCAGCCATCACCCCATCAATGTGAAGGTTCGTCTGATCCTAAAACATTAATTATATGTGACACTTCACAATCAACTGAGGTTGCCAGGGGAACCACGGGTAAAGCGGTTGCAAGTTTCCCAATAGATGCTTTAGATTTGGCCAACTTTCTGACAATGGACAGGAATGTGGGATTTAATTTTCATGCACAAGATCTTCTAAAGTCAGTTCTTGTAGAGAAACAAGAACTTTGTTTTTCTGTTGTTTCCTTGCTTTGGCATAAGTTGATTGCATCACCTGAAATACAGCCTAGTGCAGAAAGCACATCTGCCCAGCAGGGATGGAGACAGGTAATAGTCGAATGACATAACTGTGACAGTTTTTATTTTCAGTAGCAATCATCCAGTTATAACCAACATACCTTACAAAATGTTAGATACTTGATTACAGATAAATACATTGTTTCTTGACATGGTCAAGCTAAATAGATTAAGAATGGTATATGGTGAATTCAAAATTTAGATTATATTCATATTTTTTTATTGGTAAAATTCCAATATAGCCTCCTCTACAGATTTAACTATATATGCTATGAGGTAAGTAGAAAAAGGCGATTTTCCTTATTTCATGTAGAAAAAGATTAAAGGCAGCAAGGGAAGAACATGGAATTATTTAATTTAGCTGAGTGGTAAATTATTTGTGCAATGTTGAATGGTTTTTATCTAAGCAGAAAATCGTTTCTATTGCACCAATACAAAATTTTATAAAAAATGATTCTATTGCAATAAATTCCGTAATCAGAGCTATGAAATGGCCTTTCTACAACCAAAAGTATCTTGTCAGAGAAGTGAAAATATCTATTTAATGACTAGCATAGAACTGAAACATAATAAAACTACTTCTTGCAAATTTATTGCAATTGGACCTTTTTTTTTGTTTTTTGTTTTTTGTTTTTTTTTTTTTGTTTTTTGTTTTTTCTCTCCATTTTCAAGGCTGAATTCTGCTGCATGACATTCAATCATCAATGCCTTTTAGTGCTTGTCTGTTGAATTGTTTATACATTCTGGTCTTTTGGAAATTCCACCTCATTAAACCTATATATATATATATATATATATATATATATATATATATATATATATATATATATATATATATATATATATATATTGGTTCAAAAACTTGGTGGAAATCAGAATGAGGAGAATGGCCAAATATTATTTAGGTTCATTCTTTATAGTCGTCTTTGATAAGAACAGAATTATATGCACACTTGTCTAATTGCATTCTTTTTTGATGATAACCGTTTCAAGTTTATTAAAATCCACAATTATCCCACTTGTAAAGGAATGCTACTTGTGCTATCTGCTTTCACAGCAGATGTTAGTGTTAATCAATTAAGAGCTATACTGTCAGCCTTCTTAGTTCTTATATGAAATAAAGGTTCATTTATGTGCTTCACACTTTTTTGACAGTTTCCTCTAACTGCAGGTAGTTGATGCACTATACAATGTTGTGTTAGCCTCACCTGCAAAAGCTGCAACGGCTGTCGTTCTTCAGGTCCAGATTTCGTTCTATTTGAACTTACTGGAACTTTTCTTTTTATTGACTAATGTACAATTTGTTTTCTTTTTCTCAACTCCACACAGTACGGATGCTTGTCTATGTATATCTATATATAGAACATGTATGCCGATATCTCTATATACAAACCTGCATGCCCATGTTCATATATTGAAAATGTCTTAATATCTATGTTTATGGATATAAGATCAGTTGTTTGTACTGGAATCATCATTCACTAGATTGTGTTATTAAAATGTGTTGGCAATGATTGTTTTTCTAATATGGTGTGAATGTTTATAACTTGATTTGTTTAGTCACTTTACTTGCTTTGTTTACTTGTCAGGCGGAGAGGGAATTCCAGCCCTGGATTGCTAAAGATGATGATTTCGGTCAGAAGATGTGGAGAATCAACCAACGCATCGTGAAGTTGATTGCAGAATTGATGAGAAATCATGATACCCCAGAATCCCTTGTAATTCTGGCTAGTGCATCTGACCTTCTTTTACGGGCCACCGATGGAATGCTTGTTGATGGTGAAGCATGCACCTTACCTCAACTGGAGGTAATTGTTTCTGGTGAAATGACGTACCTACCCGCATATAATTCATATTTGCCCTGGCATATTGACATCTTAAATCTATCATACAATAATATTGGGTTGTCCATCATGCTATATGCTTACATTGTTGGACATGAAAATTATTGAGCAGCTTCTCGAAGTGACAGCTAGAGCAGTTCAACCAGTGCTCGAGTGGGGAGAATCTGGATTGGCAGTTGCAGATGGCCTCTCAAACCTTTTGAAGGTGATAAATTTTTTCAGCCTCTATAGTCTATACATTCTTTTGATGCCAACCATTGTTATTTGAAGTTGAATAATTAATAAAATGTGTCTATATTCTGTAATAATAGGGGAAAAAGAAAAAGGGTAACCCCTAGCCAAGATGGCAAGAGATTCACACTTGTAACCACAAGGTCACGAGTTCAAATCCTTGCCCCCTTGGTTTGAGCCGGTCAGCTATGGATAACCTAGGCTGTTTTACTTCCTTGTTGTCCTTTGCCAGTTAGGGTTAAGAAATAGAACTCTCTATTATTTCTTACTTCTTCCTTAACTACACACACTGCCATATATATATATATATATATATATATATATATATATATATATATATATATATATATATATATATATATATATATATATATATATATATGCTAAACACAATGTAGAAGACCCTTCGCATCCCTACTTTACTATCCATGGCCCTTCACATCCCTTTGGCTTTTCATATGCCTTGGCCCTTCATATCCCTTTGGCTTTTCATATGCCTTGGCCCTTCATATCCATACTTTATTTACTTCTAACAGCTTGGAACAAAAATGAGAAGTTGAAAAATTTTCTGGAAATGTTTTGTACATATTGTGGCGCGTGCTTAGTTTAAAGTTGAAATGTTGAATATATGAACAAATGAGTAACACTTGAGTCACCTTGCAGTGTCGTATACCAGCCACAGTTCGCTGTCTTTCTCATCCAAGTGCTCATGTCCGTGCTCTTAGCATATCAGTTCTTCGTGCAATTCTGCATTCCGGTTCAATAAAATCGAGAGCCAAACCAGTGAATATGAACGGCATCCATGGTCCTGCATATCAGTGCTTGAACGTAGGAGGCACTATTGACTGGCAAGCCGACATCGAGAGGTGCTTGAATTGCGAAGCTCATAGCCAGCTTGCAAATGGGATGTCTGCAGAATTTCTTGATACTGCTGCTAAGGAGTTAGGCTGCACTATATCTGTGTGAAGTTGGTTCATCATTTTGGGTGTTATTAGGTGGTTTCTTACTCAACTTCTCCGAAAAACCTTTCTTCACCGAATCAAAAGAATAGAACGAATGCATTACCAATTCGTTTGGTGGATGCAGAAACTGAATCCAAACTAAATGTTGCTTTTCCAGTGAGTGATTGGTATATACTGCAAACTTTGACATAGTAAGTTATGCATTGAATCAGTGCCCCTATGGTATGGTATGGTATGTATGTATAACCTAAACCACCATAGCATAATCAAGAAATAGATGTTTGATGCTTTACAAATTTGACAGAAACTTGAGTGGTTGGTTCTGCTTGCTTGGATTGTTTAACCTCTGTCATCTTCCACTAATTCCAGTCTTTAGAATTTCTGCGTTTGAATCATGCTATCCTCTTCTATTCTACTTCATGGTTCATTGAATTAAAAGAAATAATGGTGTTGTTACTTTATTTTTTGGTTAAACCACGAGATGTTCTGAGTAGATTCTGACTATAAAAGGCACTTGTAAACCCGTACCATACTCATTAATTTTTGTTTGCATTGGGCTGACTCAATTGAGTAAAGTACTAGCCACATTGATTTTCAATCGTTATACTGTGCGTTCTGCGTCTCCCAAAACGACGTCGTTTTGATAAGTTTTGTATTTTCAGGTATAAAATTCTGTGCATTTTATTATATAATTCTGAACATTCGAAACATTGGAATTTTCCGTTATAAAATTCTGTGTTTTCAGTTATAAAATTGTGTTTTTAGGTATAAAATTCTATGCATTCTATTATATAATTCTGTACATTCGAAACATAGAATTTTCAGTTATAAAATTCTGTGTTTTCAGGTATAAAATTTTGTGTATTCTATTGTATAATTCTGTACATTCGAAACATGAAATTTTTTTTAAGGAGTTAACAGCAGACACGCAAAAATGTACAAAACGATGTCGTCTTTTACCAGCGCACACAATGCATTATGCGTCCCGGTGCACGGTATAATTTGCCTATTAATTTTTCCATACGATAATGGGTTGTTACTTGCAATCATTATTCCATGGATCATGGTCCACATAGTTGTGTGGACCATAAATAAAAAGAACATTTTTAATATACTAAAAGTATATTATTTGTGTACGTAAAGTATATTATTTGAGTACTAAAAGTACATTATTTTGTATACTATCAAATAATGTACATTCAATACACAAATAATGTGCTTTTAATATATTAAACATATACATTGGTGGTCCACAAAAAAAATTTACCCGTTACTTGTTACTACACAAATCTACACGTCCTTAACCCCTTCTCATCAATAGCCTCACAAAATTTAATAAAAAAATAATAATAATAATAATAATAAAATAAAATAAAATAAAAACAGTGAAATTTTGCAGATCTGCTTTCGAGTCAAATTTAGATTAGTTTCATAGTGGTGAATATATTGAATTAGTGGATGATGTATTAAAAAAGAAAAAAAAAATACAAATACATTTCTCTTTTTTTTTTTTTTTTTTTTTTTTTTGGATAAACGCCATGTTTACATACACACGGTAGCATTTCTCTAAAAGGAATATATTTATGTATGCACTAATAGTGAAAAAGTGTTTATGTAATATATAGGTGATGAAGCAAAGAAATGCTCTATTTATGGTACACACAATATACATTACTCTTTTGTCCAAAGACATGCATTTTTTTTATTTTTTATTTTTTTTTGAGAAAATTGCACTTTTCATCTCTAAATGTTATAGACTTATAGGATAATTATAGAATTTGTCCATAATTAATGGTGGTGCTCACTTTTCGCTCTTAAGCTATCATTGGCGTTGCAATTTTCGTCATTTTATTAACTTTTCGTGCTCACTTTTTTGTTGGACACCTCTCGGCGCTGGCTGGTTGCCTTCTTCAGTGGGTCGCCGGGAGAAGGCAAAGGCGACCAACTGGTTGCCTTCTCCGGTGGGGTCGCCTGAAGAAGGTCTACCATCGATTGTTCGTTGGTCGTCAATTTTTTTCCTGAAAATAGTAAAAACATCGCTGGATCCCTAGCAACCTGCTATTACAGGTCACTAACCTATTTTTGGGGTTCAATACTTAAAATGACATGTTAGTGTGCTTAATTGCACCTTTCAAAAGTTCATGGAACTAATTGTATTTTAGTTTAAAGTTCAAGGGTGTATTTGACCATTTTCCTAATAGTAAAACTAGATTTCCCATTCCATCAAATGTACCCCCAACAACAACAAAAAATCACATTGTTTTTTTTTTTTTTTTGAAACCACATTGTTATTCTTTCAAACTTCAGGACAAAATTGAAAATGGAGAAAAAAAAAAAAAAAGGCAAATTGCTCAACTGCATCTCAGATCTTGTGTAATCTATTCAATAACAATGAAGAATAAAAGTGCACAAATCGATCTTTATAAATTATGATGATTGATCAAATCAAAAATGGAGAAATTAGGATAACACTAAGTCCTATAACATAGTCTGAACCCCCCTTCCAAAGGGGAGTAGTAAATAACAAGAAGAATAGATATAGGAATTACAAAATTCAAAAGGCTTTTAACTTAATTGAGTTGGTAGGCATACCTAGAGTCAGACAACTAAAATGTCCTGGTATAAGGTGTATTGTTCTCAGCTACAAATTCTTAAACCTTATCATCGGGATCAGAAGATTCCAAATGCTTTTGTTGGCTGTTCTTTGACATTGAATGGCTACGGCGCTCCTTCCCACCAGGCTTAGACGAGGCATTGCCATACCACACCATTCCCAAAACTGCGATGATCATGCCAATCACCACTTGCGAATTGAGACCCTCTTTCCCGAAAAACAAAAATCCCAGTATCAAAACTAGGATGGTTTTCATATGCCCAAGCACTTGGAATGAGACAGCAGTGAATCTGCCAATGCATATAAACTGACTCAAATTGGTGCCTATTGCAATTGTGCACGAAAGGATTAGGAACACCTGCACAAGAAGTTCAGGAAAAAAAAAGTCAGACATCACAAGTTGGGGCGCATTGATAGACTTAATCATTGTTTAGAAGAGACTCAGAGAGCACAGAGAATGAATGCATCTCAAAAATAGGGATGACTACCATTGTTCTCATATTTGAAAGTAGGTTAGTAGGTCCCTTGTGTAGAGTCCAAAAATCAAACAATTAACATGCTGAAGTGTGCCAACTGCCAAGTTTCTTAAAGTGAATCTAAAGTGCAAAAGGGCGGCAGAAAATGTGTCCTTTGCAGAACCACAGGTTATATCTACACACACACACACACTGGTAGCAAGGTCACAAACAGTGACAAGCACAGGAATACTTATGGACTATGTTGAGCACATAATAAGATACTGAGCAAATATACAGAATATATACTTACCATGGATGGAAAGGTAAAATTATACTGGTCAATCCTCTTGGTTGTTAACCAATAATCCAGAAAAGGGCCTACTATCAGCAAAGTTCCAGCTTGAGCTGGTGCAGTATGTCCCAGCAGATTGAAAGAACTTAGAGAATATTTCCTTTGAAGGAAATGAACATACTGCATAGATATATTGAGAATTGTTAAATTCCTTTCAAATATTTGACTTGAAATGAAATACAGAGTAAATGTTTCATAAAATCAGGAGGCTTCTTTGAAGGCACTAGAAAAGCATGAAAATAAATTTGAGTCTTAATGTATGCACAGAATATCTATCCCCTATTGTTAAACCCAGCTCTATGTCCTTATAAGAAATATCAGGCAGAAGCAACTTACATACTGTTGCAGAGCAGTACTCCATACAGCAATAAAGGCTGCAATGAACCCTTTGGTATTAACACTCACATCAGTAACTGTGCAGACAGCAACACCTAATAGTACCAAAGAAATGCTGAGCTTTGTGTCTCTTGAATATCGAATCTTGTCAAATACAACTTCCAGCAAGCAGGATACAGGGATCATGCTCAACTTTGCAATCTGATAGTGATCCAGATCCCAGAGGTTAAAAATATTTGAACTCCAAAAACTAAAATTCCAAGAGGAATTTTATATACAGAGGATTACCTGGTAGAAGCCTACTGAATTCCACATCAAACTGACATTCATCCCAACTATAGAGAAGTTTGCAAATAGCACAAATTTCAGAAGGTCTGCAATGGGTAGGTGGGAAGTTTGGATGTATCCAAGCCATCTAAGAACACCCGTCATCAAGGTGGTTGTAGCAAAATGCATACCAGTCAATGTTGTAGCTGCAAGAATTGTTGTAATCAAAAGCTAGAACAAAAGATAATGAAAAGAATGTTTAATAGTGAAACTCTCACGACTAGGAAAAAATAATATTGTGAAAACTAAAATGCTAATTATAAAAATTCAGTATTCAGTCACTGCCAGGAAAAAAGTCTCAATTATTAATTTGCAAATTTTACATATTTTATGTTTTTTTCTGTCTTTTAGATAACATGGTCATAGCAAAGAAATCAATCCACCCCATAAACACACAATACATGAGAAAAAGAAAAGCAGGAATGCAAAACTCTCTTCCTCTCCTGTAGTGTGAAAGCAGAGGATATCTTTGGACTTTGGACAAACAACTCTTGATTTACTCATTCTGCATGATGGTCAGCTGCTTATGATCAAACCGCATAGGAAATACAAATTCATCAAATGAGTTTTTCTAAATGGAACCCAAATACTGTAGCTCAGAAGGATAGCAAATTATGTTATACCAGAACAATAACAATCTATAAGTTACTCCAGGTCTTTCAGCTGTTTCTGATTATTTTAACTTTTGATGTTGGATTCCTAATTTAAAACAAAAGCATAGAAAATGTTTTGTTATCTATAAATGAAGTCTCACATTACACATGAAGAATATAATTTAGTACAAGAAAGGGGAAGTCAGAGATGAGAAATTTACCAAAGCTGAAGCCATATGTAGCCATTAATGCCTTATTGACAATTATAATTCCAACAGAAGTGACCACATTGAACATCCATGCAGCTGCATCAATTGAAGCCTTCTTCTCAGCCTTGTTTGCAGGAGCCATTTTCCTTTATTTCTGTACAATCCCTCAGTCTTTTACTCCTCAAATACCATACAGATTTTCACATTTATGTGCTCAAACAAGGATCTTTTCTTAACTTTCCCACTCAAACTCCCTACAAAAGATCATTAAAAACATGAGCAAATCAGGCAAAGTTATCCATAAATTTCAAGTTCATAATAACATTAAATTAAGCCTACCATCTACTATCCACATAAACCATAATAAACAAGTTGAAGAAAAAATCACAGCAACCAAAACAGAAATTTTACATTAAACTAATACTTTGAAATGCTAGTAAAAGAAACTATGCTCCATAAGAGACTGAAAATTTAAGATTTAAAGGTCAAACACAACCTACAAATTAATGAAATGATGAACTACAAACTACTAAAATTCAACGTAAACTAACCAAAAGTACAATAATTTCATCGATCACTTGACAGATCCAAACAATCTCACATCATGGTATGAGAAAATTTAAAATTCTCCAAATTTGAGCAGAATTTCACTGTTACATTACCAGATCTAAATCCCTAACTCAGATCACAACCAATTCACCAAATTTTCCAATAGATCTAACCATAAACAACATACCAGAAATATCCTCCACGAAACAAACAACATATATACACACGCATTGCAAATGTGGAAATATTCAAATGCCTCGAAAGATGCATATAGTATGTAGAATTGGGAGATGTACCGTTTGGTAATTAACGAGAATGAAAGAGACCTCCCAGAAAGTGAAGAATTTAGATCTTCACAGCACCATCCCTCTCTCTCTCTCTCTCTGTCTCTCTCTCTCTCTCTTTCTCTCTCTTTATCTCGCTTTCTCTGTCCAAAGCACAGTTGGAAGGTTGTGTGTGTTGTACGTATATGAATGTGTGCAGAAATTGTGTGGGCGTATATATACGGATACGTAAATGAATATACGACGTGAAAAGGAATGAAAATGGGGAAGGGAAGAATAACGTGTTAGGGTTTGACCCGATAAAGGAAACAAGAGAGAACTCAGCTTAAACTTGTGTAGTTGTATGCCCACTCCCCTTTATTCTTTCTTCAACCAATGTGGTATCTAAATTTTTTTTGCGAACATCAAATAGGTCACTCAACTGCATACAAATTACTATGCAATTAAAACATCAAACTAAAAAACAATACAAAAAATTACTATGCAATTAAAACATCAAACTAAAAAATAATGCAATTGAGTCCCAGAACAACACATAATCATGCAATTATATTCAAAATGACATGTTTTATCTCAAAGAGCAGTTACCGATTTTAAAAATAATTTTAAATAAAATAATTTAAAAAAAAAAAAAACCTAAACTACGATCTTTGTCTCTATGGCCATGGAGACGAAGGCTTCGTCTCTTTGGGCATGGAGACGATGGTCTCATCGTCTCCATGGCGGGAGATGAAGAAACCTTCGTCTCGGGTAATTTTTTTATTAATTATTTTATTTAAAATTATTTTAAAAATCAATTTTAAAATCAGCAATAGTTCTTTCAGGTAAACAGATCATTTTGAACCTAATTGCATGATTTTGTGTTGTTCACGGACCCAATTGCATTGTTTTTTTAATTCGATGGCCTAATTGTAATCTGGTGGAATTCCTCCTAAGGCTTCAGCATAGATTTTCAGTATTATTGCTGTCACGATCCTCTGAGATTCAGCCCTTTGTCACTCTGATTCGTAAAAAAATAAAAATAAATAAATAAATAATTTCGCCAGACTATATCAAATTATCAATTTCACTAGACCAATATCTTGATACATTTAATTTTTTCTTTAGAATAATGGTCAAATGGACTATCAAATTACGTGAAAAATTACAATTAGATTCTTGAACAACACAAAATCATACAATTGAATCTTACTACATGTTTATCCAGTCTTTCCTACTAACATAGCAGTTACCTTATTAAAAATTAATTTTTTGCACTTATTTAAATAATTTTAAATAAAATAAAATTACAAAACAAAAAATCCAAACCTCCTTCCTGCCTTCATCCCCGCCCCGTAGACGAAAACAAATTCTTCGTCTCCCGCTGAGATGAAAGAGGATTGGTTGAATTTTTGTTTTTATTTTTTAAAATTTTATTTTATTTAAAATTATTTAAATAAATTTAAAAATTTTATTTTTAGGCTATCAATTAGTTTTAATTGACGGCGTTGGTCACCTTTAAATAAATTAAGTGAGTTAGAGATTAATGCGCGTTCACGGTTAATCTACGTCAATTATTGTGATGAATAAATATCTTTTGTGTCAATTATCATGTCAAATTAGTTAGATTCTTTTTGTGTGTGTGTGTGTGTGTGAAAGTATTAGTTAGAGTTAATACTTGGAGTTGGAAACTTTCATTTATATTATAATTCTTGATACTAGTTTTCTGGTTGATTTATTCTTGAATTTAATTTAGAGTTTTACTACATGCATTTCCTATTTAGTCCATGAGGTGACAAAGAATGATAAGTTATCTTCATCCATCTTGTGGGTAAGTAAATGTCCCAACATTAAAATTTGGTGAGAGGGAGTAAAAGTTGGGAATATGAGTAGTATCTTCCTATAATTTATTCTGTTCTATTCTATTTATGTTTTAATTAAAATAATCTATTTGTTAAGAGAAAAATTTACCTATGAAATAGTAGTTAACTCAAAACTCCTTGTGGATCTGACATGAACTTGCCATGTCTATAGGTTAGTTTAGTTTTATTATTTGGCGTTGAACGACTCACATCAAGAGCGTGTTCGCATGGCGTAGAGGTAGTGGAAGTTTGGAGCTATCATGTTTAGGTTGATAAGGGATTAAGTTATAATTTCTTTTATTAATAGATCGGGGGCAAAACCTGCAGCCCATGCGCAGTGGGCTAAAAATCCCAGCTCTTGGCAGGTTGCAATAGTCATGCACCCGCTCCCTACTTATGGCTGGACAGTGCGGGTTAATCAAGCAAGCAAAACCAGTTTTGAATATAGCATCTACTGAGGCTCAAACCCACAACCTCCCCTATGAAAAAGTAATTTGGTGTCACTAGACCAAAATGTTATACTTCTAAATCTTCTTTTTCATATTGATAGCGGGTACAGGGGGGTGGCATTGGAGTCATAATACTCTATATTTCTTTCATTCGCACCCCTACCTACATGCTAAGTTTCAACATATTCTTTTTTCTTTTTAGTTTTCCTAAGTTTACTTATTTTGTCATCATTTACACTAAGTTGCACCTTTAGTCATTAATTAATTATTTTACTTTATTTTATTTGTTTGTTAATTATTGAAAATGAATATGAAAGTAGCATTAATTCTAATTAAAGAAAACAAGTATCAAGCACTTATATTTAAAACGGTCTAATACGATGTACAGTAAGGTTTACCACTATCGGATCCGTGGCGCAATGGTAGCGCGTCTGACTCCAGATCAGAAGGTTGCGTGTTCGATTCACGTCGGGTTCAAATCCTTTAGCTATTGTGATTGCAAATGCAATTTGCAAAAGTTGTAGCTCGTCTACGAGGCTTTATCCTTTCTCTGTTCACCGTCACAACAAATTCTGTTTGTTACGGCGGAGTATTTTTTTTATGGGGAAATTAACATTTTGGTCCATCAATTGTTTTTTAATTGTTAATGTAATTCATAATTTTCAATTTTAATTAATTTAATTTTTGAATTGTTTAAATTTTACCAATTAAATCCTTTTTGAGATCAAAATGACAAAAATTTAAAAATGTGAAAATCACCATTTTTGTCACTGAAAATGTTTAATTGACGAAATTTTAAACAATTTGATGATCAAATTGGATAAAAATCAAAATTAGGGACTACATTGATAGTTGAGAAATAACTGAGGGACCAAAATGATGATTTATTTATTGGAAAAATGAAAACTTTTTCAAATGAATTATAAGCTTATACCCCGGGGCGGAGGTAGAATTTTTGTCCAGTGGGGGCGGAACATTACAACAAAAGAGATAGTTTGAAAAAAAATGAAACACTTAAGAAGTATAGCCATAAATATTATTGGATATGAGTAAAAAATAAAACATATCAAAACTTTATAAAAATATTCATAACAAAATATGAAACATAATTAATTTGATAAAATAGTTAGAATACAAAATACATTATAAATTACACATCTCATTATTAATATAAAATAATGTTATGTGTTGAAGTCACTGTTGCAAAAATCGGTCTAGGCACCCGCCTAGGCGCTAGGTGCCCCTAGACCGTGGCGATTCCCCCCCTAGGCGCCCGCCTAGGCAATCGGCCGTCTAGCACCTAACTTAGCTGACTAGGCCGCCGCCTAGCGCCTTACTCGGCTGAGTTAACTCGTCCATTTCGGTCGAGTTAGCCGATTTGACCCAGTCGACTCGGCCATGCTAATCTTTTTTTCATTATCCCGCCTAGTGTAACCATGGTTGAAGCAATAGGCTCACTATTAATAATAGTTAGTAAAATGCCATAAAAACTATGATTAAGCCATAGAAGAATTTTTATTTGTTCCTGCTAGTGTAACCATGGTTGAAGCTATAGGCTCACTATTAATAATAATTAGTAAAATGCCATAAAAACTATGATTAAGCCATAGAAGAATTGGTGGGGGTGGGGGAGGGGAGGCAGCTACCCCCACTATAGCTCCGCCCGTTTTTTTCAACCTACTGAAGCACAAAGAGTCAATATCGTCCCCAATGGGGCACGAACCCATGACTTTCCATTTGGGAGAGCCACTTCGTGTCACTAGACCACAAGGTCATTGCCATGAATATTTTTCTTTAAAAATAAGTATTTCATTTATTTTTTTCCTTCTCTAACAAATCTACTTATCTAATAAGAGTAATAAAGTTAGACCTATTACGGGAAGTAAAAAATGTTGGTCCCATTGTTTGTTGAAATAAATGATCATATTATTTTTATTTTAATATTTTTCCTACTTTACCCTTTATTATATCATTTACTTTTACTAAATACCCCTACATTATGTCGGTGTAAACTTTAGTAACGGAATATTCCGCTAACAATTTATTATTCTTAGCTTACTCATTGATTTTCATAAGAAAGGTCTTACGTACAAACCCATCCCAATCAGAGTTGGCATAATTGTTGAATATATACTATGAATATTGATGGGATATGGATCGAGGAGATCAGACAGCCACCCTGGTTGGTCAACCAGTGACGGCCGGTGACAGAGATCACCGTCGGAGAAGAAGATGAGGCTTCCCCTCTAAATAAGTAGCCGAGTTGTCCCAGTGACTTAGCAAGTAGACGTCCGAGATCGAGTGGCGTAGGGAGTTGGCATCAGGTGAACGAATAAGGAAGAGTCCTTGGAAGACCGTTAAGGAATCATTCAATACCCTGAATAAAGAGGAGACAATGGACAGTTGGAAGACAAGAGCGTGGGAGAAAAATAAATGTAAAAGTAATTAGAACATCATTGAAGACATTTAATACCCATATATAATTAGTCATTAATTGTAGTCCGTTGAGTCCGAGTCCTGCTCTCACTCGAACCCCTATATATACCGTATCAAGGCATTGTACAAAGGGCCAAGCTTTCTAAAGATACACACTACTTTCCGACGAACAATGTACTAGATCTCCCATATTTTCCGGTGATTCACCAACTTTTCCAGTTGTGTTGGAACCCCGGTAGGCTTCCCAAAAAGTCTAGAAACAACAAATATGATTGAGTATATTAAACAAATACAATATAAAATTTAACATGAACTTTGGTCAATTAATTAGCCAGACTATATACATAGCATTCAAAGTTGATCATCAAAGATTACAAATAAAGAACCTTAAAAATCGTTTTCTTGCATTTTTTTTAAAACAAATATAGGTCAAGTTTTTTTTTTTTTTTTTTTTTTTTCGTTTAATTTATTTTCTTTAGTTTATTTAGAATGACACTCAATATTTTAATTATGTTTATATATATATATATATATATATATATATATATATATATATATATATATATATATATATGGGAAAATGGCACTTTTTCTCCCTGTGTTATATGTTTATAGCACTTTTTCCCCCTGAGTTATTCATGCATCCACATTTGTCCTCTCAATTATTATAAAAGTGGCAGTTTTCCCCCTTTATAATATTAAATGGACATTTCTACCCTTAAAATAAATATTTTATTTATTTATCTTCTTCAACAAATTATAGCTTATACGTAGGGATGACCACGGTTCGGTTCGAACTGAACCGAACACTATAGCAATCAAATAAAAAAATTTCGGTTATAATTCATAACATAACCCAATATTTGGGTTTCCGTTTATTAAAATCATCAGCTGGAAAAAAAATGGCTCCTGAACCGTGAATCGGAGATTCAAATCAGAACAACTACTAGCGATAGCTTAAAATTAGAATTATAATATTTGCAAATAGTGTATGTTTTTTTTTTTTCGCATTTATATTGACTCTACATATAAGTATATATAATCGCGATTTGGTTTCTATTTTGAATCGTCGGTTCATGATTTCGGATCCAATTTGAACTGTTGGTTCAAACTTTATTTTAATTTTTATTTATTTATTTTTAAAGTATTCAAAAAATTCAACAATTAATGCATTTTATTTTTTCAAATTGTGGTTATAATTTGTTGGAGAAGAAAAATAAATGAAATATTTATTTTAAGGGTAAATATGTCCATTTAATATATCAGGGGGAAAAACTGCCACTTAAATAATTTAAGGGGAAAAAGTGCTATAAGTATATAACACAGGGAGAGAAAGTGCCATTTTCCCTATATATATATATATATATATATATATATATATATATATAAGTATGTATGTATTAGATCATGTGAAATTAGTTCCATAGGTTAAAAATGAGCAGCAATCTAAGCCATTGGATCGATTTAATTATTATGGCTGGTTTCAGCCGTTGGATTTAATTTTCGCGCAGCATCAGGCGGTTGAAGTTTTTGGTATTATGTTAACGTTCGTGGGCAAAAACGTCAATAGTCTCACCACAAACCTTCCCGCTTCTCCATTCTCTCCACTACAGCGACACATTTTGCGTAATTTCTTGAGCAAGCAAATCTCAGGCGAAGACGACCAAGGCTTGACAGAATCTATTGCTCATCTATAAACAACAATAGCGAAAACAATGGTGTCTGTTAAGGATGTATCGCGAGTGCAAGAACGTTCTTCGGATAAACAAGGTAAACTCCATTTTTGTTTTAAATTATCGTAACTTTTGTAAATTTAAATTTAAAATATATTTTTAAAGTCTTGCATATTCTTAATGTTTTGATATTTGTTTATGATCGTAATTTCCAAATGTTTTAGCTTCTGATCATTTTAGTTTTTGTGATTTTAATAATTTCCGGATGTTATAGTGAGTGTAGAATGTTCAATTCATAGTTGAGTACATTATTTTTTGCCTTTTGAGAGCAAAATTTGTACTGGTTATTTTCTATCATTCTATTGCACATTGTTTTGCCATACATAGCACATTTTCTTCTTATACAGTGCACATTTTCTTTTCTTCCGATGCATAATTTGAATGCTTAGTTTTTTATTTGTGTGCATTAGTTTGTTTCTTCTATAGCATATGTTTTGTCTTTGAAGTGCACATTGTTTTGCTTGCCAGAGCATATTGTTCTACCTTTCAATGCATATTGTTGTATCTGCCAGAGCACATGGTAGTTCATTCCAGTACACATTGTTTCCCTTCCAGTGCACACTTTTGTTTCTTCAAGTGAGTGCATTTTTCTATCTTTTCATTTATTGTACCTAATATGTAATGTAATATTTTGTTTTTGTGTTTTTTTTTTTTCTTTATGTTAGTTGAAAATCCTCCGCAAAAGCTGGATGAAATCCGGTCAAAGCAGTTAGTAGTGTACAAAAAATCTAGAAAAAGAGCTCGGAATGATGAGGGTGGAGTGGGCCCTAGTAATGTGGCGGCTTCTTTGGATGTAGCACCTTTGCGAGTGAAACATCATGGAAGAAGCGTAGTAATTACCCAACTTTACGATCAAGGGCATCATCACACCATTTTTTCTATGCTCTACGGGATATGAATGCCACACAAAAGGTTGCTGTCATAGAGATGGGATTTCAGAGCCTATTGCATCTAACAATTGCAGAAAGATTGGGTTATTGCCTTGTTGAAAATTATAACCCTAGAAACAGTACATTGTATCTTGCTAATAGAACTGGGTTGTGCATATATAACTGGATCGGAGTAGATGTCGAATTGGTTTTAGGATTTCCAAGAGGAAATTTAGAGATCACCAAGTGGACAAGGTCACATAATACTGATCTGTTGGAGGAAGAGAAAGTTTTGGTTGGGAGAGCACCACAGGGTATTAGCTACGGGGATATTATTAATGCCATGATATCTTGCGTTGACGGTGGTGTTTGGTTTCAAAGACCTTTTATTGTCTTAGTCTGTTCTCTGTTTATAGATATCCCTTAGAATGGTTATGTTAGGCCATATATTTTTCACCATGTAGTATATGTATTCCAAATCAAGCAGTTGAATTGGTGCAATTATGTTCTCCGCAGTTTGATGGATTCTCAGCTATGTTGGGCGAAGAGTAAAAAAAAAGTTTTTTAGTGGACAGTAAGGCTCAAAATACATACATTTTATGAAGAATTTAATAGATAAAGGATTATAAAACTGGCATATTGCATTTGTTTTCAGGTTTTGTATGTTAACCGTGTTGTAGTCTACACCCGGACTGTTCCTACTTCCTATGAAGATTCCATCATTTATCGGGTGGACTACAAAGCTACTTAAAAATAGAGAAGTGTTTGAGATTGAAGTTGGAGGATTTGGACTTGGTCGAGTTGAGGAGCGTCTCGAATGTGCATCAGAAACTATTCAAGCCCGAGCTGAGGAGTGCCCTCAATCGGCACCTTAACCTGTGTGTGAGGATGAACCAATGGTTGAACCACAGGTGGCTCTTGGAGGTGAAAACAACTTTGGAGGCTGGGCTCGGCCCCAGAGCTAATTGGGTCCAGTTTCTTTCGGGGTCGATCCGCACCGAGTCTTATTTACAATATATCCATCATAGTTAATCCAAAATGCAACAAGTATATAATCTGGAATTACTAGTATTCTTTTAGTAACAATATAACAAAATGCTATTGATTGAAAGTATAGCTTCTCTGTGGTTTATGCCACCTTTTCTCCTCCACCCTGGACAATTGCCTGCTCCAAGCTTCTTGTAAAGGATCCTTTTGGCTGGTGTTCTTCTATCAAGGGGATAGGAGTGGCTGGTTAGGAGAATGTGGGGGAGACTATTGTATCTTGGTTGTATGTACGGGTTGCTCTATGCCAGTGTTATTTTGGTTAATGGATTTTGGTAATTAAATTTCTGGTTTCTTGGTTTAATTTATTCGTAGGTAATTTATGTTTCCTTTCTCTAACATTTTCTCTAACTTTTATTTAAAGTGGAATGAAATATTTTTGTAGCCATGATAAACAAAAAAGTTGGAAATCAAGTTCTCTTCTGAACACTTACAGATTGTTAATGAAAGTGTTGCCCAATCCAGTTGATTTGTGGTTTTTTCTTCACTTTCCACATGCATAAGCAATATAATACTCGTTAATGATATTAGTACTTGACTAAAGCTTATTAGGAATTACCAATTATAAGAAGTTTGTGCCATCAAGGTTCCGGAGTTAACATTAACAACCGTAGGGAAGGCGTGACTTTATTTATTTAGACATTCATCACATTTTCGAATCATTGGGTGCTGAAATACTAAAGAGTATTATTTTTGGTTGTGTTATAAGCGTTGAGAAAGCATCCTCTTTTTCCTTAGCCGCTCAGCTACAATGAAGGAAAGGTCGAGGGACTGAGATGCATTGAGTCTTGGATCGCAATGGGTGTGGTAGCGAGAGCTCAAATCGTCGAAAGTCACAGTTCGTGAACCACCGATGCACTCTGTCACATTTTGGCCTGTCATTTCCAAATGAATGCCTCCCGCATGGCTCCCTTCTTGGTCGTGAACATCAAAGAAAGCTCGAACCTCAGCCTGCCATGCCATACCAATCAAGTAAGTATATTGACACGGACTGTTTTTCGTGACCGTATTAAGACCCAAAACATGAAATGTCCAACTAGTTAGCATGTCAAATGGATAAAGGGGCATTAATAGCGTTAAGGGTTGTTCTGCCTTAGACGTTAAGGTCTGGCTGAATTAGGCATGTCGACCCGATTAAGTTTGGAGAACCTATCGCTAGACTATGAAGGGGACCGATGTGACTCAAAGGACACAACGGGGGACCGATGCAATTTGAAGGGCACAAGGCAAATTAATGAATTATTGTGTGGACCATGGTCCACGCAATGTTATGTGGGCCATAACAAAAAGTACATTTTTAATATGCTAAATGTACATTATATTTGTACTGAATGTACATTATACAGTATAATGTACACTCAAAACAAAAATAATATAATGTACCTCCCCTGAATACAATGTACATTATTTTTGTACTGAATGTACATTATTTTATAGTACACAAAATATGGTCTACACAATAATGATTAAAGGATACAACTGGCCAGGAGCTATTGCTGACCATATTTTGTCTACTATATTTGTACTGAATGTACAAATATGGTACAATGTACATTATTTTTGTACTGAATGTACATTCAGTTTGTACTGAATGTATATTATTTTACCGTAGACAAAATATGGTCCACACAATAATGATTGAAGGGCACGACTGGTCAGGAGCTATTGCTGGCCCTGATGAGCCCTAGCAAGACAAACTAATATGACACGTATGAGGGTAAGGCTGGTCCGCAGGATATGAAGGGTCCCGAAACGCCGCGCAGGCGCTGTGTGCTGCGTTGGACTCTATGCCGGTGACAATATATACAACAAACACTATATAGGGGATTAGGATACAATAACACAAAAGCATTTGGCATACCAATATTGCATCAAAAGGGCGTGTTTTGAGTCCGCACGGCGCCTTGATGGTGTTTCCATGCATTGGGTCACACACCCAAGTCACGATCTGCCCAGCTCTGCGTGTAGCGTTGATGAGATGCGGAAGCTTCACTCTCATATTCTCCGCGCCCATTCTCACTATCACCGTGATTCTCCCAGGCTTGTTATTCGGATTGAGGATCTCAATCAGATTAACCAGCTCATTCGGGTCCATCTTTTGGCTAACCTTTATGCCCAGCGGATTGGCAACTCCTCTCAGAAACTCAACATGAGCGCCATCTAGCTGCCGAGTACGCTCCCCAACCCAAACCATGTGAGCTGAGCAGTCGTAGTAGTGGCCGGAAGTTGAGTCCAGTCTGGTAAGCGCTTGCTCGTAAGGTAGCAACAAGCACTCGTGGGATGTCCAGAATTCCGTGGAGGCCATGAGAGGGTGATCTAGAGTCAGCCCTGCTGCAGACATGAAGCCCAAGGCTTCATCAACCCTGTGAGCTAGTTCTTCATACCTGTGTAGTGTAACAGGAGGAGAGATATATTAAAAACTCATAAATAATCCCCAACTTTATTTAATTTTATACTTGGGAGGTGTTCCCAATTTTGCTGGGCTAATCTTAAGCCGGCACAATCAGATCACTGATCATACCCTAAGAAGTTTGAGGTCAAAGACTGAAATGAGAAACAATTAAAAATTGATGACAATTGAAAAACTTTTAAAAAGTAGACAACATTAAGAAAAATTCATTTGGGATATGTTTTTCTTGTAAGGGGCACATGCGTTTGAACTAAATTTTTTTCCCTTGAAATTAACAAAAGACACAAGTACCACTTGCCTCTTAGGTATTATACAAGAGACGCAAGTGCTTAGGTATTATACAAGAGACTTAAGTGGCACTTGCGTCTCTGGCCCGTATGCACCATATTGGTGAAATGCAAATGGAAAATGTGTTTCTCCTATTGTACGAGAAACACAACTTCCACTTGCACCTCTCACCCTCAGCAGCCTAATACTGTCGGTCAAACTTACGTCTCTAGTAAGATGCAAGTTCAACAGTCTGACGAAGTCTCTAGTAAGATGCAAGTTCAACAATCTGACGTGCGTTCTACTGTTTGAAGTGACTCCACATCTGCCACACCGAAAAATGGGACAACAAATGTGTGGAAATAGTTTGAAGTCTTGGCTGAAATGCATTTTTCACTTGCGTTTCACCAACATGGTGTATACGGACCAGAGACGCAAGTGTCACTTGCGTCTCTTGTATAATACCTAAGAGGCAAGTATACCACTTGCGTCTTTTGTTAATTTCAGAGAAATTTTTTTTTAGTTCAAACGCGGACATAATAAGAAATGCATGTCCCAAATAAATTTTGTCTGATGTTGTCGATTTTTTAAAAGTTTCCAATTTTTGTCTTTAATTTCTAATTGTTTCCTATTTCAACCCAAAAGTTTGAACCCCCACGCTACAACTGACGAACCAATTACACTAAGCCCGGGTACAAGTTTACTTTATAATGAGGAAGGGGGGTTACCTATCTCCCTGCTCACTGTGCTCCACAAAATCAAGATTCCATCCAGTCACCCTCTGCATTGCAGCATAACCTCCAGTAGCGAAGGACCTGAGAAGGTTAAGGGTGGCAGCAGATTGCATGTAAGCCCTTATGAGCCTCTGGGGGTCTGGAGTTCTTGATTTCTCATCAAATGAATCGCCATTGATATTGTCTCCCTTGTAACTCGGCAGCTTCACTCCATCCTTCTCTTCAAACGGATCCGATCTTGGTTTTGCGAACTGACCCGCCATTCTCCCCACCTACTCACATCCATATTCCAACTTCAACATATATATATAAACACTATTGCAAAAATAGGGCTAGGCGCCTGCCTAGATCCCCGCTAGGCTTCTGCCTAGATCCTGAGGTGCCCCTTGACCGTGGCAATTTCTCCTCTAGGCGCCCGCCAAGGCGATCGGCCGCCTAGCACCTAACTCGGTTCACTTGGCCGTCTAGCGTCTAACTTAGCCAAGTTAACTCATCTATTTCGATCAGGTTAACCCGATCAGCTCCGCTTGCTAATTTTTTTCATTATATATATAACAACATCATTTAAATTGTCAAACTGCAAGTCAGTCACTGTTTTTTGGACGCCACAACATCATTTAAATTGTCAAACTGCAAGTCAATCACTGTTTTTTGGACGCCCGCCTAGATTCCGCCTAAGCGCCTACTGCATGCATACATATATATATATATATATATATATATATATATATATATATATATACTGATTCATCAGGAAATAGCTAGGGTTTGGTTACGTACCTTGATGACAGGCATCTGACCGCCAAACATAAGAACAACGCCCATTTGAAGAAGGACCCTGAAAGTATCGCGAATATTGACGGCATTGAACTCCTTGAAGCTCTCGGCGCAATCCCCGCCTTGCAAGAGGAAAGCTCTGCCAAACGCGGCCTCCCCAAGCTTCTCCTCTAAGCTCCTCGCCTCCCCGGCGAACACCAGCGGGGGATTTGATTCCAGCGTCCGGAGCACGCCCTCCAGCTCGCCCGCGTCCGGGTATTCCGGCAGCTGCAGCGCCTTCTTGCTCTTCCAGCTCTCCACACTCCACTTCCCCGGTTTCGCCGCCGGCGCTGCAGGAGCCTTGGTGCCCGCCGCCTGCGCTGCGGAGATGGAGTGGATACGGCGGCGCTGGGGCAGAGGAGGGAGGCGGAGGGGTTGGGAATGGAACAGGGAAATGTTGGATACAGCCGCCATTCTTAGCAGGAAAATGAGAGAAAGAGAATGAGATGTTTAATTATGGGGAGAGGTGTGAAGATTGATTTGCGTTTCGCATTGGATTTTATACAAACACAAGATGGGCAGAATTCATGAATCATGACTGAATGGAATGAATGAAGAGTTGTTGGAGCGCAGACAGAGTTTTTGAAGGTAGGTGGCAAAACCAGGAGAAAGTTAGGTGGCAGAGGAGACAGAAGAATAGAGTAGTTTCAGTGTTTCTACTTTCTACGCTTTGGCGGGATGGTCTAATATTTAATTATTAGCACATGAGAAAATGAGAAATACTATCAGGGCCCGTTTATTGACAGAAAATTATTCTCTATTTTTGAAAATTGAAATTGACAACTTGTTTATTTGTACTTATTTTCAAAATTCATTCTCCATTTACTAAATTAAAAATGTACTATATATATATATATATATATATATATATATATATATATATATATATATATATATATATAATTAGGTTCTGGTGCGGTTAGAGTGACCAGGTGAGATTGTGCGATTTAATCTGGACTATTCATCTCGCTTAAATCAACGTTCAAAATTGTCAAAATTTAAAAAAAAAAAAAAACGTGGTGGCAATTTTGTAATTTTTGCATGTAGGTCAAAATTAAGGTGAGCGAATCTGTGATTAATATGCGTGGGGTTTGTGTTTAATGTGCATGAGGTTGTGCTTAATGTGTGTGGAGTTTGTACTTAATGTGCGTGAGGTTGTGCTTAATGTCAATAGTTGTTGAAACTTAAAATCTGTGAGTTAATATATTAAAGTGCGTGGGGTTTGTACTTAATGTGCGTGAGGTTGTGCTTAATGTCAATAGTTGTTGAAACTTAAAATCTGTGAGTTAATATATTAAAGTGCGTGGGGTTTGTGCTTAATGTGCGTGAGGTTGTGCTTAATGTGTGTGGGGTTTGTACTTAATGTGCGTGAGGTTGTGCTTAATGTCAATAGTTGTTGAAACTTAAAATCTGTGAGTTAATATTTAAAGTGCGTGGGGTTTGTGCTTAATGTGTGTGGGATTTGTACTTAATGTGCGTGAGGTTGTGCAGACGCTATCATTTGTGTAGACGCTATCATTTGTGTAGACGCTGTGTAGGCGCTATCTTCTTCCCGACACGCGTTTTTTTTTTTTTTTTTTTTTTTTTTTTAATTTTTACTGATTTGAGCCGTTGATCTAAATTTGATCAACAGCTTAGATCTAAACGCACAACCGCACGGGAAGCTATACCCGCACCTGAACCCTTCCATATATATATATATATATATATATACTAGTTTTTTACGCGCATTGCGCGATTGGGATAATGCCCCAATGTTTTTCTTAAATAAGTATTTTAAAGTATATCAAGGGAAGATTATATTGAAATTGTTCATGCATAGATAATTGAATGTTGAATTTGCGTATTTAAGTTGATAATTCTAAGTTTACAAATGCAAGATAACATAGTCAAGATTGATTATAATTGTCAATAAAATAATTGTATGGGTATTGTTGAAACCAAATACGGGACATAAGGGAGAGCAAATAAAAATTAAAGCATAAATATTAAATATATACTAATATTTTTGAGGAGATTCCAGCGGTAGGATTAAAATCTGAACTATTCATTTGATTTAATAATTTGACCGTTATTTTTTCTACCCAATATTTATAATTAAATAAATATTTGAAAGTATATCAATGCAAGATTATATATGAAAAGTTCAACATAAGTAATTTAATGTCTAATTTGTTTATTTAAATATGTAATTCATAGTATATGAATACAATGTAATATAGGAGATTCATTATATTACTAAAAAAATATTAAATAGTAACCAAGTATTTTTGTTGCAAAGGTTTCTAATATATTTAATGAATGCACATATATACAAAATCAATGAATGAATCAACGGTACCCGTCCTTTAGGTGTTTTGCTCAGTGTTCATTTAGTTCAACCATTATTGTTGAATAAATTATTATGGATAAAAAATTTCTAATTTAAGGACTTTAGATGTAGTAAAAATTTAAAAATTTTAATTATAATGTAACCCAAAAATATTGGACGATTGGAAAATATGATGTAACCCAAAGATCAAAATGCTAAAGAAAGTGTTTTGATTATTCAACAGTTTGAAGCAACAATTTGTTCCAAATCACTGAAAATACAAACATTGCAATTTACAATATTATTCAACAGTTTGAAGCAACAATTTGTTCCAAATCACTGAAAATACAAACATTGCAATTTACAATATTTTCACTTAGCGTTTTTAAGAATGATTTCCTCAAAAAGCATCTATATTTTTTAAAAATTTTATTATTAAAACAATTATTATTACTATTATTATTATTATTATTATTATTATTATTATTATTATTATTATTATTATTATTATTATTATTATTATTATTATTATTATTATTATTATTATTATTATTATTATTATTATTATTATCATATGTATACCCTTATGTCATTTTAAATGTTAATTTAAATAGCTAATTTTTTAAAATATCTTTTTACCAACAGTTGATATAATTTGCTGGTCAAATCCGCTAACCCTAACCGCTAACGGCTGATTGTCAAACAAGGACATTGCGAGGTAGTTTCTCACTTCAATTTGTTGTGTGATTTGAATATTCTCTTTGTCAACAAATCCACCAAGTAGTTAATATGATTGACTTTATTAATTTAAATTTTTTAAATTTTTTCATGGTATTAATAAAATACTTAGTAAATAAATATATATCATTATTTTGTATTATAACTTTGATATTTAATTAAAAAATAGTGCACAAAAAAATAGTAGACAATGTACTGAATATAATCAATTGATGAATTTGAATGTAAAAAATTTGTACATTGGGGAAAAATAAAGACAATATAACTAATGAAATTATTTCTCTTAATTAATTTATTGATAATGAATAATTTTTTTTTAATAAAGACATTATAGGGACAATTTAGCCAATATAATCAATTGATGAATTTGAATTTTGAATGGAAAGAATTTTTATATTGGAGAAAAATAAAGACAATAAAACTAATGAAATTATTTCTCTTATTTAATTTATTGATAATGAATAATTTTTTTTTTGAATAAATGCATTGTAGACACATAATTCTAAATTAAAGAAATACATATGTATTATTTTTTGTTGTAGCTACTAAATTATTATAATAATTTATAATTTAATAAGAGTAAAATAGAGTACTAATTATGCCAACTTTGATTGGGACGAGGTTCGAACCTAAAACCTTTGTTATTGAAATCAATGAGTAAGTTAACGGTAAACTAACAGAAATTAACGGAAAGATAATATTTAACGGAAAAGTTAACGGAAAATCATATTCATTAAGGATAAATTAAAATATGATCAATATGAGCCATTCATTTGATTAAAAATTTGACCGCCATTTTTTCTACCCATTATAGGCCTAACTCTCTTGAGCTCTTATTAGCATATATATATATATATATATATATATATATATATATATATATATATATATATATATATATATATATATATATATATATATATATATATATATGTTATTTCGTGACAAATTAAAATGTCATTAGAAAACATATTAATTGCAATAATTTAAAATAAGTTGTTTCGTGACAAAATGTGATTACAAAATATTACAAATAAAATTGAGTACACCATTAATGATTATAATTTGCCCAAAGTGCATTTGCAATGTCCTCACGCAATTGTAGCATTTGGTCTTGTTGATTCATATCTAATTGTATGGTATCATTTCTACCATCACTACTACTTCCACCATAATCCAAAACCATGTCTTGCGCTCCATACATCATACCTAATTGATCATCCCTATCTTCCAACCGAATGAAATTATAAATGCACAACATGCAAGAGGAATTTGTCTTTGTCTAATCGATGGGTAACCATTAATGGACTTTAGAATGGGAAATCTTGCCTTTAAAAGTCCAAAACACCGCTCAATCACATTCCGCAATGATGAATATCGACAATTAAATAGGGCTTGCTTATTTCGTATCCGCCCTTGTCCACGAAAGTCATTCAAGTGATAACGCTCCCCGCGGTATGGTGTCAACAAACCGGGTGCATTTGGGTAACCACGTACCATCAACAACGTAGTAATAACCTATTCAATTGAGAAAAAGAATATACTTAAAGAAGTACTAAATTACACTAACTTAATTATTGAAATTAATAAGCTATTCGAATACTCTTACCTTCGGGTGGCATAGGAAAATCACTTCCAGGCTTTGAAATTGCATCTAAGAATATGCGAGAATCATTCGCACTTCCTTCCCAACCCGCATGTACGAATGTAAACATCATGTCATGCGAGCAAACCGCCATGACATTTTGGGTCAACATTCCTCCTTTTCTACCTCGAAATGTGCTTTGCTTTGATGCAGGTACCCAAGATGAGACATGTGTTCCATCTATAGCACCTACTCAAAAATTGTACAACGGTCGTATCGGGCCATTTTGCCTCATCATCATTGGTTTCTGTGACGTTATTCATCTAAGCAAATGCAAATTTATTCAGTTCATAACTAAGCATATCATACCACATTTTTCATTTTTTTAGAAGATTCTTTTGCTAATGCCTATTTAGGCAACAAGTAGTAGTAATGACAAATATTACTTCAACAAGGTCTTCTGTAATATGATCATCCTAATTTGTTTGATAGAATATTTCAATTGACAAGGGGAGGCATAAGCAAAGCATAAAAAACAATTAACTTGAGTTTTATAAAGAAACATCAATGTAGCAGTTTCGGTGATAAGCATAATGATAACCACCATTGCATATTCTTCAATCAATAATTTCTCTAGTATTACTTTACTCTAAATACATCTACATACTAAATAAAAACAAGATCTACAATAAGTTCATGGAACAAATATGCACAGATAACAGATTTAGATCTATCTATCCACACATATAGATCCATAAATCCAACCAGAGATACCAACAAATAGGGTAAAAACATAGCTAAATACATATAGAAATCTTTAGAAAGGACTTACCCTGAAACGTGGTGATGGGCACGATCCAACTGATGATTTTGGTGACTCCGTCTTTGGAGTGAACTCGCCGGCAGTAGACAGATCTGACCGGAGCTTCGCTAGAGTTCACCACCTGTGCCACACTCTTTCATGCCCAAACTTTCTAATATAAAAAACCAAGCAATAAATAACAATAATAAATCTCTAATATAAAAAAGAAATCTAGTTAGAAAGACAAGCTAGCAAATATTCTGGATTAATTTATCTGTTGGAAAAAAAATATTCGATGACATAATTCATTATAATATTATACTTGCAGACTGAGAGTCTTGGATTGAGAAACAGGATTGAAAAGAAGGCGGCCTATTAAAGGAGGGAGATTGGAAAAGAGCAGCTGGCAATGCAATTCCGGGAGTGAGAAGCAACTACAAGATCTAAACCGATGAAACAACAAATTCAATGGTCAAAGATAAAATCATATTAAAAACTAATGTGGACCATAAATAATATAGAGTATATATTAGGAAATAAATATGAATTGAAGTACATCTGTACAAGGTTTAAACCTTGTGACTCGATCCCTAATCCCGCCAATATGTGATTCAACTTATTTAATTACAAGTAATTTAATTAATAAAATTAAAATGATTAATGTTCGCTACAAATTTAAAAACTTAATTTGTACATGTTGTTTAAGACTTATTTACTACTTTATGCGATGGTCAAAGATAAAATCGTATTAAAAATTGATACGTGGACCATAAATAATACGTATTAAGAAATAAATATGAATTGATGCACAATTGTAAAAGGTTTAAACCCTATGACCTGATTCTCAATCCCGCTAATATGTGATTCAACCTTATTTGATTTCAAGTAATTTAATTAATAAATATAAAATGATTAACGTTTGCTATGAATTTAAACATTTCATTTCTATATGTTGTTTAAGACTTATTTACTACTTTATGCGATGGTCAAAGATAAAATCATATTAAAAACTGATACGTGGATCATAAATAATACGTATTACGAAATATAGATGAATTGAAGTACAGCTGTACAAGGTTTAAACCCTGTGACCCGATCCTCAATCCTGCTAATATGTGATTCGACCTTATTTGATTTCAAGTAATTTAATTAATAAATATAAAATGATTAACGTTTGATACGAATTTAAACATTTAATTTCTATATGTTGTTTAAGACTTATTTACTACTTTATGCGATGATCAAAGATAAAACCGCATTAAAAACTGATACGTGGACCATAAATAATACATATTAGGAAATAAATATGAATTGAAGTACAATTGTACAAGGTTTAAACCATGTGACCCGATCCTCAATCCCGCTAATATGTGATTCAACCTTATTTGATTTCAAGTAAATAATTATCATTCTTATACTTTATATAATAAAGTTATATGGTTTGGGAAATAATTAATGTTACAATTAATGCCACAACATCCTTTATTATAAAAAAAAAATGCACAACATTTAAAAAATAAAATAGCTATATATTATATAATCATATAAAAAATATACTTTTGAAAAATAAAATAGCTATATATTATATAATCATATAAAAAATGTGTTCAATTAGAGTTTAAATTTACACATACAAAATTTGAAATTTGCTTTCCAAATGTAATTATCTTAGTTATTATTCGTATTGTGAAAATTATAATATAGATGAAATACAATTAAGAATAAATCAATGTAATTATGTAAATTCTCTCTATAAGTTTATTTTATTTTATTTTATTTTTTTGAATGCTACTAGCTCTATTACATTGTAGTATGCACACAACCTACTGAAACACGAAGAGCCAATAACGCCTCCACTGAGGCTCGAAATCACAACCTTCCACTTGGAAGTCCACCCCGGATACCATTAGACCACATAGTCCTGGTCTCTATAAGTTTATTTGAATATGCACATAATTAGAGATTATATTAACCATATAAAATTATAATTATAATTTTAATTGTAATTTGTATTCTATACAAATAATAAATACTTGACGAATGGAAGCTCAAAAATATTACTATATTAAATAATTTAAAATATTTTAGTTTTTCTATTCATAATAACATAATTTTTTCCCGTGCATCACACGGGTGAATTACTAGTTAATGTATAATTGCATAATATTAGTATAATTATCTAACAATTATTTGATAATTAAGGAATTAATTACACAAATATTAGTATACTTGACTAATAATTATTATATTAATTAAGCTAATAACTATACGAATATTAGTATAATTATCTTGAGCAAATACCAATTTTAGTCCCACGAGTATTAGCAAAATGACGATTTTGATCCACATGTTTAATTCCTACCAATTTTAATCCACGACTACTGTTTTAGTACCAATTTTAATCAACGACTATTATTTTAATACCAAAATTCATCACGTCGGTTACCCATCTACTTAAGACATCCCGAAATCTAAAACTTTTAAGGGCATTTTCATCATTTTCAACTTAAGATTCCAATTTGAGCATAAATAAATGAATTTAAGCCCTAAGATCGATCGCAATTCATAGTTCTCCTCCTCATTCTACCTTAATTTGAGGAGGAAAACTGTGGATTGGGATAAATCTTAGGGCTTAAATCCCTTTATTCATGCTCAAATAGGAATCCTAATTTGAAAAGCACGAAACTACCCTTAATGGTTTCATATTTCGACATGTCTTAAACGAATGGGTGACCGGCGTGATGAATTTTGGCACTAAAATAATAGTTGTGGATGAAAATTGGTACTAAAACAATAGTCGTGGATGAAAATTGGTATGAATTAAATATGTGGACCAAAATTGTCATTTTGCTAATACTTATGGGACCAAAATTGGTATTTGCTCAATTATCTTTAAACATGGGTCATTGGATTGTTTTTAGAGTTAATACCCAAAATAGTCCCTCGACTATATCGTAATTACCAATTTGGTCCTCGACTATCATTCTTACCCAATTAAGTCCTCAACTATACAATTTTTACCCAATTTAGTCCTTTGTCAATTTGACTGTTTGTTGACTGTCAAAAGTGGAAATAAAGTTGTAATTTTACAAGTTTTCTCCTTCCTCCTCATTTAGCAGCGCCAAACCATGTAGCAATAAGCTCCGGTTGGGTTCTAAACCTGTCAGTATCGAAGTAGTGGTTATGCATCGGATAGCCCATGAATTTGATTTCCAACGATTTTTTGACGATCGAAACCTGATCGGAGTGTATTGCTGCATGGTTTGGCGCTGCTAAATGGAGAGGAAGGAGAAATCTTGTAAAATTATAATTTTATCCCGACTTTTGACAGTCAACAAACAGTCAAATTGATACAGAGGACTAAATTGGATAAGAATTGTATAGTTGAGGACTAAATTGGGTAAGAATTGTATAGTTGAAGACTTAATTGAGTAAAAGTTACATAGTTGAGGACTTAATTGGATAAGAATGGTAGTTGAGGACCAAATTGGTAATTATGACATAGTCGAGGGACCATTTTGGGTATTAACTCTTGTTTTTATAATGATTACAATTAATTCATTGAGATATTGAGGAAAGAAAATAAAAAAATTAAAGGCGATATGATGAAAAAGAATATACTTAAGATATAAAAGTATAATTGCACAGATCTACTATATATCTACTATACTAATAAGAGCCCAAGAGAGTTAGGCCTATAATGGGTAGAAAAAATGGCAGTCACAGATTTTAATCAAATGTATGGCTCAGATTGATTAAAAGATTGATCAGATTTAAATTTTACACTAAAATTTCCTAAAATACCCACACACCGTTACTAATTCCGTTAAAATTTTAAGAATTGCCGTTAGTTCACCGTTAACTTACTCATTGATTCAATAAAAAAAGGTCTTAGGTTCGAACCTCATCCCAATCAAAGTTGGCATAATTAGTACTCTATTTTACTCTACTAATAAGAGCCCAAGAGTGTTAGGCCTATAATGGGTAGAAAAAATGGCGGTCACAGATTTTAATCAAATGTATGGCTCAGATTGATTAAAAGATTGATCAGATTTAAATTTTACACTAAAATTTCCTAAAATACCCACACACCGTTACTAATTCTGTTAAAATTTTAAGAATTGCCGTTAGTTCATCGTTAACTTACTCATTGATTTCAATAAAAAAAAAAAAGGTCTTAGGTTCGAACCTCATCCTAATCAAAGTTGGCATAATTAGTACTCTATTTTACTCTTATTAAATTATATAAATAATAATTTAGTAGTTACAACAAAAAATAATACATATGCATTTCTTTAATTTAGAATTATGTGTCCACAATGCCTTTATTCAAAACAAAAAATTATTCATTATCAATAAATTAAATAAGAGAAATAATTTTATTAGTTATATTGTCTTTATTTTTCTTCAATATAAAAATTCTTTATATTCAAATTTATTAATTGATTATATTCGCTACATTATCCTTACAATGTCTTTATTCAGTGAAAAAAAAAATTATTAATTATTTTCAATAAATTAATTAAAAGAAATATTTTCATTAGTTATATTGTCTTTATTTTTCTCAAATGTAAAAATTTTTACATTCAATTTCATCAATTGATTATATTCACTACATTATCTATTATCTTTTTTGTGCACTATTTTTCTAATTAAATATCAAAGTTATAATACAAAATAATACTATATATATATATATATATATTTTTTTTTGAATGCTACTAGCTCTATTACATTGTAGTATCTGTTCATATACTTTCTCAACCTACTGAAACACAAAGAGCTAATAACGCCTCCACTGAGGCTCGAACTCACAACCTTCCACATGGAAGTCCAACCCGGATACCATTGGACCACATAGTCCTGGTAATACTATATATTTATTTACCAAGTATTTTATTAATACCATGAAAAAATTAAAAAAAATATAATTAATAAAGCCAACCATATTAACTACTTGAGAGATTTTGTGACAAAGAGAGTATTCAAATCACACAACAATTTGAAGTGAGAACTACTTCGCAATGTCCTTGTTTGACAATCAGCAGTTAGCGATTAGCGTTAGCGGATTATACTAGCGGATTTTACCAACGAATCTATTTAATTATTAACATTGGGTAGAAAAATGACCGCCAAATTATTAAATCAAATGAATGGTTCATATTGTTCAGGTTTTAATTTTTTTCTTTTAAGATTTTATAATTTATCCTTAATTATATGATTATCTATTTAACTTTTCCCTTAATTCACCGTTAGTCTAATTCTAATATTAAAGTCTAATATAGAATTATAACTACACCATTAATCTAATTCTAATATTAAAGTCTTAATAGAACTTAACCACAAATCCTAATGTCGGAATCTCCTCAAACAATATTAGTATATATTTAATATTTTATGCCCTAATTTTTATT